TGGATTCCTGCATATTCTGAAAACAGTCTGTAAGATTTCTTTGTACTTAAAAAAGGCTCAAGATTTACACATATATGAACATGAAATTTAAAAAAAAACAAACCTTTATATCTTTTTTTATGCTAAATTTAGCCACTATTGCATTTGAGTGTTTCCATTAAAATTCTAAAGGGGTCTCTTCACAGGCACTGTGGAGGACCCAGTTAAGCCTGTGGCCAAAACATAGTGATCAGGCTTGAGGAGGGAATCTGCCAAGACCAGTACAAAGCCCAAGTAAAATCAGGGTATTTCCATACTGAACCCACCTCTGTGTATAAGAATCTATAAAAGATGCCCCAGTGACACAGTCACGAGCAGCTACGAAACTGTTTGCTCTACAGAGCATAAAATGCATCAAAGCCAAAGTTGTGTACCTGGAAGACAATCTGCTGCCTGAGAGCTGACTTTTAAGCAAATAATCTGAGAAGTCCCCATTAGCTGGCACTGGGGAAAAAAATAAAAATAGGGAAAAAAGCAAGCTTCACATACACATTCCCTGAGACTACAACCTGCCCCTCTCACACTTCCCTGCTGATGAATGTCAGACCTACCAAAGAGAGGGAGTTTTAAGCTCTGGGTGGCCTAAGTCTCCCATGTACAATTTAGGTGAGAATATGGTCATTTGACACCTGTTACCTTTGCTTACACTGCCAGCTTTCCTTGAGATCTGGTTTCTTATCAACAACTGCCTTCAAATGCTATCAAAGAGCAGATTACAATTTCTTTTCACAAATATTAGCACACTGCACTTTTTAAATTAACAATTGAAGTATTGTTCCATGCAACATCACAAACTGCACAAAATTTCATCTCACACAGCGTTTGGTGAGAGGAAAAGTGTCTCAAGAGATGTCTCCCAAAATCTTTTTTGTTCAGCAGGAAAACTGTTAATCTTCTTATTTAAACTAGAAAATCAGAATTATATATGAGTGTGTGTATACATGAATATGTGGTGTTCATATTATACATGAACACCACAACAAGCTCCTTATATATGCAGAGCATCAAACTGAACTATCACAGAGACCTGTAGGGACTGAACATGACACTGAACAACTCCAGCAAATGCATGATTTCCTAATTCATATTCTTGCTTACTGTGCTCATTTACGTCACATTAAAAATTATTCTTAAAAACTATACCTTCCCATTACTTATACACACTTATTTATATGGGTAAGAAAAAGAAGATAAGAGGTAAAATGCTTATAATATACCAAAAAAATCAAAACACAGAAAGATTACACTGACAGCTGAAAGTCAGCAAAAAAGGTCAGAAACATCTCTGGCTGCAACTAGATCAAACTAAAGTTACAAGATGCCCAATTACTTCCTTTTGATAAATAGTTACTTAATACATAATTTCTATAATAATTTCCCACATTTTAACACTAGGTCAATATTTGATAAGTTTGTTTCATGTCAATTGCCTGTCTGCTGCCTTTGGTGCAATCCATCACCTCTTGCCATCAAATGTTAAGTCACTGTCTTGCTCTCTCAAATCCCTCTTACCTTCTTGCCAGTTTTTAATCATTACATTAATTGCTAGGAAGCCATAAGCAGAACTACATCAACTCTAAACTCCCACAGCCCTTGACCAGCAAGGTTTGGAAAATTCACCTACCATTTCTCAGGCCAGCTGCCCCCTGCCCAAGCTGTACTCCTTTAACACTCACACAGAGATTGTGCCTGAGGCTGCATCAGTCCATCCAGCCACACAAATAGCGCACCATTAGCGTGCCACCATGCAAACTGGGTTTCATTAAACATGATCGATTTTGCTGACTCCACTTGCCCTGGACAAGGTGGACTTCTCAAACATCTCATATCATTTGCTTGTTCATTGCCCGGAAACACAACCTGCAGACAAAATGTATCATGTTTCAGACACAAAGCCTCTTTTGGAATAAAAGCAAAGGAATGGAAAAATGTATACATGCTACACAGACCAACCTTCAAACACAGCCTGTCATATTAATAATTAACTCCACACCCATAGATTTTAGTATTGACAGCAGTGTTAATCCATAATTAATTTTGGGAGATTTATGAATCTTAATCAAAGACACTGCACCTAAAACTAACGGCAGTTACCTGAAGGTCTGTTATCTGTATGTTTTCAGCTCAAAATTTTAGAGAGAGGAAAATCTTACTGTTATGTGGATTATTTTCCATAAGTATTTTTTCAATTCTCAACATGTCTCTTCAACCAGAATACCAAGCCAGAACACAGAGGCCAAATTTTGAAGTTATTCACTCCTGGCATGGTGAGTATTGGGCTGCCTCACTACAACTGCACACGGACACCACAAGTGCACACTGTGCAGATCACTTATTGCTAATCACAACCTGGAAACCATGACAAAGCTGGAGGTAATCTGGGAAGGGCTGACAACTCAGTTCTCAGAGGCTTCAAGGCGTTCTCCTCAAGCAACTGCTTCATACAGCAGACACACACATTCTTGCAGGATGAGAAATGCTGGTTTTCCTGTAAGTATGAAAACCATAAACTTAATTCAAATATTTTGAATAATCTTCCACCAGATATGCTTTTTTCCATAACAGCACAGAGGTGGTGAAGTAGATTTCAGTGTCAGTTTGATACCAGTTGCCAGACTGTAAATTCATAAGCACACTTATACTTTGATTCTCTCAGTTTAGGAATTACTTTGTCCCCTTTCTTGTCTCTTTATGAAGAGTTGATCATCTGCTACATTAGAACAGAAAGAAACCACCTAACTGCTACAAAATGACTGTCATCTATGAATTCTGGCACTGAAACCACAAAATTACTATGTTACTCTACTGTGAGCACAGCAAGCAGCACTATACATCTATTTACAAAACACTGAGGATCCACTTCCTTACTACCTAAACACCACCACAGAAAATCTTCAGTAAATTTAAAAGTAAGGTTTGATGGTGACCGTATAAAACACTCAGAGAAAGCCCATGGACTCTGCTACTGTTTTCAACCACAGAATTTCCATATAATAGAAACAATCCCAGTAATTGTGGCTACCTCAAGTCCATACCAGTGGCATATAGCATAACCACCATATAAATACTAATAAATAAAACCACCCTGTCATTTTAAACCCAGGGTACAGAGCTTTTGGTATCAGGGACCAGTCAAGGTGTGGGTGCCCCTCTGCAAACTGCCTTTTCAGACAGACATATTCAAAGAAAAGTTACATTTCTACTTTTTTCATGCTTCCACGGGTGGGCCACTTCTTTCCTGATGAAACCCACACCATTTGCAATCATGTAACCTTTTCCTGGTGACTGGCCTGTGTTTCACCTCTGCTCACCACTGCAATTCCTTCCCGGTTTAACATTACGCTGCAGAATGCAATTGCCATCACTTAATGCAACTGAATAGTTGGAAGCCAGGATGCAGTCCACTGCCATGGCAGTTACACGGGCCACGGTTTTGGAACACAACACATAAAAATAAACACTTTTATTAATGTTGTAACACTGATGAACAAATGCTGCAAACACTTATCATCTGAACGGCCGATGAGGCATTCGGTGCTCCACTGAGGGTCACGCTTTACTGCTTTACCTAAACCAGAGAGGTACTTTTGGCTCCTGTCTCCTACATGCAGGTAGACTGTCATGTGAATTAACTGTTGTATATAAATAACAGCTGGTATGCAGCCACAGACATATCCAAGAGTATAATTTTATTCTTTTTCCAGTCAGAATCAGAATATGTTTGCCCTCTTCAGAACCATGTCCTTCAGGAATCAAGTGGGGCGGTGATGGGAACATCAGTTACTTTTCCCCTCCCAGCAATGGGAATTCTCCACCAAAAAAAAAAAAAAAAAAAAGCCCTGATCTTAACAATTTTCTTGGGAATCACTTCAAACCACTCAATATACCATTCACAGTATTCCTTCCACTGCATGTTTCAGGAGAGCCTGGCAGCCTGCATTTGCTAAAGCAAAACTTCCACAGTCAGAAGTGTAAAGCGTGTCAGAAAGGCTAAGGGGAAAAAGCACACTCAACTGCTTGGATGGATCAGGCAGAGGAAAGGGGAAGGGCACTGCTCAAGTTCTCAGTCAACGACGGTCATACTGTCCCAACAAACCAGTTGATCAAAAAGAAGTTTGCAGTAACAAGAAAGTACAGGGGCAAGGAAGGGAAAGAAAGAAAGAAGAAGAAAAAAACAAAGAATAAAAAAAAAAAAGAAACGAAAAAGCCCAAAGCCCAACAAGTCCCCCATGGAGGGAAAGCCAAGTGTGGAAGTGCCTGCACACCCACAGCCAGGGATTTCAACATGGGGCTGCGGGAAGCCGGCGCGGGCGGGTGTCGGGAGCAGCCCCGCCGCGGGCCGGGCCGGCGCTCCCCGCACCCCGGGGCAGCGCGGGCGCTCCCGCACAGGCGCAGCGCTCCCCCCGCGGCGGGACGGGCGCGGAGCGGCCCCGGCCGGCGGCGCTGCCGCGGCCCCCCCGGACCCTCGCCCAGCGCGGGGGGCGGCCCGCGGGGGTCCCCTCGCACCGCCCTCCCCGCCGGGCCTGGAGGGCCGGGAAGCCTGGGGCTGGATTTCCAGCCCTCCGCGGCCACTCCCGCCCGGCCCGCGGCGCCTCGGCCCCACCGCCCGCCCCGGGGCAGACCCGGCACCGCCGGCCCCCGCGCCGCGCTCCCGGCCGGGCTCGGGCGGGTCCCGCACCGACACCCCCGGGGGCCGCCCGGCACCGGCGAACAAAGGGCCGAGGCCCGCCCGGCGCCCGCGGGAAGCCGCGGAGGGGCGGCGGAGGTGCCGAACCCCCCGCGCCCCCCTCCCCGCGGCGGCGCCGGGCACACACGGGCTCCCCGCGGGCTCCGCCGCCGCCCGGCCCCGGCCCCGCTCCCGCCGCCCCCCCGGCGGGGCAGCCCGGACTTTCCCCCTCGCTTCCCTCCCCACTCCGGGAAGCGCCATATTGATCGCGGGCGCCGCTCCCCGCGCCCCTCACCTTGGCGATCGCCTTCTTGTACCGGGTCACCGCTTGCTGGATCAGGCTGAAAACTTTCATGTTCCCGTCCCCGCAGGGCACGACCACCCGCGTCCTGCCGAAGCACACCGTGACTTTCATCCTGCGCGGCCGGGGGGCTCCCGCGTCCCTCCGGCCCCGCGCAGCCTTCTTCCTCCTCCTCCTCCTCCTCCTCCTCCTCTCCGCCCTCCGCCACGGCCGCCCCCCGGCGGGGCGCGGCGCTCACCCCCGGCCGCCGCCGGGCCGCCGCTGCGGGCGCGCTGCCTCCCTCCGCCCCGGCGAGGAGAGGGGAGGGGAGGGCAGCGCAGGACGGGGGGCTGGTGCTGCCTTCCCGCTGGCCGGGGGCCGCTCACATGCCGCGGCTCTGCCCGCGGCCACCTGCTCGGCGCCTGCCCCGGCGCGCAGCGGCGGCGGGCGGGGCGGCGGCGCTGCCTCCCGCTCCGGAGGCGTGGGGCGGTGCGGCGGGGCGGGGGCAGCGCCCGGCTCCGCGGGGCGCCGGGCAGCGCGGACGGGGCGGGGGGACCGGCACGGGGCTCGGCTCCCGGCAGCAGCGTGACCGGCCCGGTGCCCGGTCCCTGCTCCGAGCCCGGAGGTGGGGGGGCTGCCCCGCCGGGTCCCAGGGATGCACCGGCACAAGGAGCCCCACAAAATCCTGGTCCTTCGGTTGGTGCCCTGGGAGGGACGGGCGCCGCTGCTGCGCCCCCTCGGAAGGCAGCCTGCTGCCGCCCTGCCCCAGGTACGCCGGTCAGGGGAAAGCAAGGCATGGCACCGGAGAGAAGGTGCGCTGCGGGGCACCGCGGAGCTCTGCTGGACCGCCGGGTGTGCCGCCGAGCCCAGCCGAAATCAGACTGTCTTCATGGTCTTTCGGGCATCTGTTAACCAACAGGACCCACGCAGAGCGAAAACTGATGTGACATCAGCTCCACTGGAACCGCTGAGCCATCTCCTCCTCAAAGCCTTCAGAAGTCAGAGGGGTTTATAGATATCGCTCACTTGTTTTTTATGGATTTCACTGAGGACAATAGAATTGCACAGTTCACTGGACATTGTGTGGCTTGACAACATATATTTTTTTGTGTAGTAATGGTGAAACAATTGAAGCTAAAGAGAATGAAGGCAGAGTTTGGAGCACAGGAAGGCAGAGGGGGAAAAAAGCTGCTGCTTTTTTTTTTTTCCCTGAAATTAAACACGGCACTAGAGATGTGAAGTTCAAGTAAGCTTTGTAGCACATAATGTCAACATCCTTCTACGACACCGGGCAACTTAGCACGTGTCCTCTGGTGCTCCCTGCCCGGCAGCTGTCCCAGCTGGCAGTCTGCTCCTGTTCCCTTAGCAATAGTATTAGTAACTTTAAGAACTTCAAACCTGGTACAAATGGCAAAGCTGTCTGCGGTTTAGTAGGTACACAGCTGAGGAGCAAAATTAATGATGTTTTTAAAACATCAAAGGTGAAATTATTGCCCAGTTAAGTCAAGGGTGAGAATGGCATCCCTAACCCTTTGCATTCTAGTTAGCAGTTTCCAGTGTAGAAAATGGAGGAGTCAGTTTATATTAGTTTGGTCCCATGTGTACTGTCCAATTTAATTGAAATCCATAAAACTTTTTCTACTAATTGCAGTTTTGGAAAGCTTTGGGACACAAGATCAAACAATCCATCTACTGACCTACAGATAATTGTTAGCTTAGACGCCAATTTTATTACCATTACAAGCTTGAGTTATCTGAACTAATATATCTGAATTCTATATGAGAAACAGTACATCTGTCTGTTAAAGCAGGAAAAAAGCATACCTGCCATGTTATATTTTGTCATATTCCCAGTGTTCACTTGTATGGAATAAAGGCAGCATGCAGGAGTCCAAAAAGGCAGAAATAAAATAATGCTGGAGTAAACAGTTTACAGCTCATGACTGAGACAACTGAGTACGCTCTGCAATTTTATGGCCACAGCTCATCAAATTTACTATTGGAAAATGATGAAAATTTCCATTAACCTGCTGCTTTTGCACTTTCTAGGTGATCATAAGAGCTACTGGGAACATACTGAGAGGATAAAAGAGGTATAAATCCTTGGTTTAATACATCACCTGAGAAACTTACAGAAAGGACTGTGAAAATGTGAAGTCAATAGAGGCTCTTCCCAGGCTGCTTCTAACAGGAATTTTACAGTGTCACAGACTATGTAATATTCCACATTATACTTCAGTTTCATTGGCATTTATCTGCTGAAACATAATGTTGCATATCTGGAACTTTACCACATTTTATTTATAAAACCTTATACCGTTGCTGTTTGACTAACTATTTCACTGTTCAGACACCACGACAGGTTTTTCATGTTTTTATGTGATTTAATTCCTGCTCTTGCTGTCTTTAGCAAGTTTCTTGGCATTTTTCCCAGCTGTTCTAACAGTCTCCTGGAAAAAAAAAAAAAGTTTAGAAAGAAATATTGATAGTTTTTCCTTTAAATGTGTGAAATGGGAAACTTCAGTAATGAAGTACAAGGAAACAAGTGTATCCTGGGATCTGATTTAGAGCCAAAGCTTAAAGACCTGCACATGAATAGGGATAGTACTAATAGGAATGAGAACCTCCAAGATTTGAGCTTCTTTCCCATTAGGTACACACATAAGTTATACATTTTGAATATAATTTACCATGTATAGTGTTTGTTGTGTTCTTCCTTAGAAGGAAGAATGAACTTTAAGAAACAAGAGTAACAAGGCTGTGAAATTGTACCAGGTCTAATTATGTAAGATAAATGAAGTATAAAACATTATTATAAGAGATTATGAGAAAAGGATTATACTAATCAGGAGAAAAATTGGCAAGAGTTGCTAGTTTACAAAAATTACAACTACTTTCCATGTACTTATTGAGAGGACACCATTTTGCAATATGGGTGGCATTTATATAGTTCTGGATGCTTAGCTTTTGTGGGTTAGCATACCATAGAACCTGACAATTCATTTATTAAAAGGTACACTGTTGGAAGATTTCCATGAAGGGTGATTTTTTGTCTGGAATGAGGAAATAGGAGATAGAGCATAGAATGGAGGGAATCAGAGCTTGCAACTACAAATGATTAGTATTCAAGTTCTGTTCAAAATGGCCACCAGGTTGAAATCCCCTGCATAAACACTGCAAACATGCAAGGAGTGAGAATCTTGCAACTAAATGCAAGATTTATCAAAAGCCATTTTTATATGAATGTTAAAATATTCAGGCAGTGGAATGCTGCTGATTTCTAGAGCTATTTCACAGTTTATCCTGCCTTTATACTCTACATCAAAGAATTTTTATGGACTAATTCTGTACGTGTTCAGGTTTAATAGTCTGTTCATGGCATACAGATATTCCCTGGTTTGACAAGAAAACACCAATTTAGTGTACAGTATGTTTGAAGTTCATACAGTTTTAAATACAGATGTTTCCTTAAGCCAAGTAAGGTTAATTCAGTACTGTAGAAAGACCAGTGTCAAACTGAAGAGTAATAGTAATCCTTGAAGAACCACAGTTTAAAAGAAAAGTTATCAAAATCATATAAATATCAAAGTCACAAAAGAAAAATCGGGGGGTTAAGTTATACAAAGCAGACAAAAAACCTAAACTCTGGCACCTGGTGTGAGTTCTAAGTGCCATTTGTGAAAATTACTTGGGGAATATACCAAATAATTACAGGTTTTAATGATTTAAGACACTTATCTGCTGTAACTCTTGTCCTGCGCAGTTATTAGGTAAAACCCTAACTTCATTTTCAAAAATCTGACTTTTAAAGTTCTGGATAATTTACATTTTACTTTGAGTTGTTAATCTTACCAAAGTAAATATGCTTATGACTTAGATCTTTCAGTGGATAACATTTTAGCTATAGGAGTGGGTTGACTTCTCAGCTGTTATATTTTGTGATTTTTTTCCTGCATACTGACAGTTCCTCCACAAAGGAGTAAGACCATGTTTCACATAATTTTCTTTTATGAATGAGAAAATCATTAAAGCTTATTAAGTAATTGTGGCTAGTTCTGGTCTGAAAAGAAAAAAAAAACCAAAACCCAACAAAAACCAACAACCACCAACAAAACAAAACAAAACAAAACAAAAAACAAACAGAGAGACTGAAAAAAATCTTATTATCTACAACTTCTCAAGAGGAGCTGGGATTTGGGGATTGAAAAGCCCTCAAATCAGTAAAAACTAATCACAGAGTTACACATACAGACTTAGGAGATGCAGATGCACAAAGTTTGGGAAGACAAGAACTCCGTGGTATAATAGAAGAAAGAAATTGTAGTAAAGAAGAATGCATCATTTGAAGGAATAACCACAAGACTGTTAACCTTTCCAGGGGGTCTAACCTGTGTCTCAAGTGACTTCAGACAGGGAGAAGGTGGTTGGGGTTAAAGAATGAGTATAGGTGAATTTACTACTTTTTTTTTTTTTTTTTCTATATCTATACTGGTCTTAGGCTACTTCTAAAAAGAAGTATTCTTAAAAGAATTATGCTCAAAGATTTTTAATAGTTTTCTTAATAATGCTCTGGTGGGTTCAAGCCACCATAAACTTGTTTAAATGGGTGTGCTTTCTTATATCAACTAATGGCTTCATTGTGCTGAGAACCAGGAAGGCCTGAGCTAGAATATTGAGTCACTTTTTGGTGTGGACCCTTGGATATAAAAGAATCATAGAATCAACTGGGTTGGAAAAGACCTCTAAGATCATCAAGTCTAATCCTTGATCCAAAACCGCCGTGGTTACCAGACCATGGCACTCAGTGCCACATCCAGCCTCATCTTAAAAACCTCCAGGGACAGTGAATCCACCACCTCCCTGGGCAGCACACTCCAATAAAGCCTGATTACTCTCTCTGTAAACAATTTCCTCCTGATATCCAACCTAAACCTCCCCTGGTACAGCTTAAGACCATGCCCCCTTGTCCTACTACTGATTGCCTGGGAGAAGAGACCGACACCCACCTGGCTACAACCTCCTCTCAGGTAGTTGTAGAGAGTGATGAGGTCTACCCTGAACCTCCTCTTCTCCAGACTAAACAACCCCAGCTTCCTCTGCCTCTCTTCACAGGACTTGTGCTCAAGTCCCTTCACCAGCCTGGTTGCTCTTCTCTGGACCTGCTTCAGCACCTCAATATCCTTCCTGAACTGAGGGGC